GAGAAAAAAAACGTGCAGCTTGGCCACAACTCGAACCTGTGACCCACAAAAAATGTACCGCGGTTGAGCGATTGAGCTATCTGGCCGCTTACACAGTTTCTCCCCTAAATAGTGAACAGTTCTAAACCGTGACAGATTCTTTTAGATATTCAAATTAGCAGGTAGATTATTTCTTAATTAATACAAATAAGAAAACGAAATAGAAAAACTTACATACTCAGTCTTAATTAAAATAACAATTTATATATTGTATAATTATTTTTACTGAAAATTACGTTATTGGTTGTGCCATTATTAATATTAGGTCAATTTAAAAGTGAACATAGGTTACATAACTGTACTTATATATGTACAATACGTAATTCTTTGTACAGATAAAAAAACTAACCATTTTCAAGATGAGAAATTTTATGGAAACCGATTTGTGCCATGTATTTTGCATCAGGGGTCACCAGGCGAAAACAAACAAAACCGAAAATACAACAAACGAACCACTTTGTGGTATTTTCATGTTTTCTTTGGCGCCGGTTACTTTTTGTACTTTGTCGGTTTTCATGTGGCACAATCACCAACTATAAAATTTAGTGCATAGATTTATACAAATGCAAGCAACTATCTACTCTATGAATAGTCTGTAGTCGGATTGACTCTGCCCGAAACCTGGCAGTTGTGACCGGTGTCCCTCCATTATAAAAAAGACAAGAATTTGTAACAGAGTTACCAACGTCCCCCGCCCCGGGAGTTTTATATGAAGCATAAAATTGTGCTATTTCAAAAGATTGAGGTATGGATCTCAGGACATTCAGTCCACAATTATGATCAATGCTAGATCTGCAAATGTAACAATAAATTTGTTAAAAAAATAAAATGAAACACGGAATTTAAAAATCTATCATGTTAAGCTTTGACCTCTAAGTGTGAACTTGATCTTGGAGGTAGGGGAGCAGGTGTTGTACATGACATAACGTCTTATTATTGTGACTATTTGTGCCAAGTTATTTCAAAATCCCTTGAACTATGAAGAAATTCTAGATTCAACACAAAATATACCCTATAACAGACTATGTTAATTTTTGACCTCTATGTGTGACCTTGACCTTGGAGGCAGGGATGCAGGTGTTGCGCATGAGACATCCTCTTATTATAGTGACTATTTGTGCAAAGTATTTTCACAATCCTTTGATCTATGAAAAAATTATAGACCTGACACAAAATATACCCTGTAACAGACTATGTAAGTATTTGACCTCCAAGTGTGACCTTGACCTTGGAGGAAGGTGACCGGTTTTTGCGCATGACACATCATCTGATTATTGTTAACAATTATGGCAAGTATTTACAAAAGTCCTTCATAGATAAGAAAGTTATTGACTGGACACGACATATACCCTCAAATAGACAATGTTGACATTGAATGAAGAAGTACGACCTTGACCCTGAAGGTACGGGTCTGGTTGTTGCGCATGACACATCGTCTTATTATAACAAACATTTGTGCAAGTTATCTCAAATTCCTTTGATAAATGACAAAGTTATGGACCGACACGAAAATATACCCTGTAACAGACTATGTTAATATTTGACCTCCAAGTGTGACCTTGACGTTGAAGGTAGGCAACTGGTTATTGCGCATGACACATCGTCTGATTATCATGAACAATTATGGCAAGTATTTACAAAAACCCTTCATAGATAAGAAAGTTATGGACCGGACACGAAATATACCCTGTAACAGACTATGTTAATATTTGACCTCCAAGTGTGACCTTGACATTGGAGGTAGGCAACTGGTTTTTGCGCATGACACATCGTCTGATAATTATGAACAATTATGGCAAGTATTTACAAAAACCCTTCATAGATAAGAAAGTTATGGACCGGACACAAAATATACCCTTTAACAGACAATGTCAATATTTGACCTCCAAGTGTGACCTTGACCTTGAAGGTAGGTGACTGCTTTTTCCGCATGACACATCGTCTGATAATTGTGAACAATTATGGCAAGTATTTACAAAATCCCTTCATAGATAAGAAAGTTATGGACCGGACACGAAATATACCCTGTAACAGACTATGTTAATATTTGACCTCCAAGTGTGACCTTGACCTTATAGTTAGGTGACTGGCTTTTGCGCATGACACATCGTCTGATTATTGTGAACAATTATGGCAAGTATTTACAAAATCCCTTCATAGATAAGAAAGTTATGGACCGGACACGACATATACACTCAAATAGGCAATTTTGACCATGAATGAGCAAGTGTGACCTTGACCCTGGAGGTAGGGGTCTGGTTGTTGCGCATGACACATCGTCTTATTATAATAAACATTTGTGCCAAGTTATTTCAAATTCCTTTCATAAATGACAAAGTTATGGACCGGACACGAAAGTGTGACGGACGGACAGACGGACGGACGGACAGACGGACGGAGCCTATTTCTATATCCCCCTTTTTTCTTCGAAAAGGCGGGGGACAATAAGACAGGAGCTGTCGTTTTCAAACTATGCGCATGTTAGAAAAAAATAAAATAACGATTCAGAATATGATATTTTTGAGACTTTATAAAATATATTGCATGATTCAAGTTTAAGGATATTTTCATCCCTTAAAGGACCAGTACTGACCTACTAGCACAGAGAATGTGGAATATATTTTTATATTGCTATGTACCGTCCGGTAGAATTGCACCATGAACCCTGTCATCATTAGTAATGGATACTAATTTAACCTCAATCTGGATAGGTCATTATGTAACCTGCCAAATCTCACATGTTCAGAAAACAAACCACAACATCCAGGCTAAGTCACCCTTTACAATATTCCTTTACCTCTATTAAAGATGGTATTATTAGCTAGCTATGACTGGGTATAAACCTATAACCTGTAGACTAATCAATACATTTATTATCATTTATAAATTTGAATGCACCTATATTCATAGTTTTGATTTTCTACCTTTCATTTTTACCAAAGTTTATTCTATTTACAATAGAAAATAATAATTAGTTTCACATAGTGTTTACCAGATTCCTGTAGCAGAATACCTGTAGTTATGTACTAACTGTAGTACATAGAAATATAAACAAATCCAGTCTAAGGTGTATAGCCAGTCAAACAAATTATATCAATAATCACTCCTCCGGGCCTCTTTGCTTCTGATTAATTTACACCTGGTAAATTTTCTCATTATTCTATTTACAACAAAATATAAAGCAAACTTCTAACAGCCATACTGTTTATATACAACAAATATAATACTTCTAGACCCCTTGACACTTAGACCCCTCTTTACATGACTTTTCGACCCATAGTGGGTAAGACATTTCGACCCCTATCCCAATTTTTAAATAACAGTTTCTATATATTTTTGTTTATATAGAATGCTTGGGCGTGATATATCAAGTCAGAACCCTGACTAAAAGTGAAGGAATTATGATAATGATAATAATGAAAATGCGCAATGTGTGCATTGCGTCTTTATTTTTATCTAAAATTTCTACAAGTTTGTAAAAATTTAGTTTAATTTTCTGTGACAAGCACATGCATGTTGTATTGGCGATGTCTACTTAATTAATGTTATATATATGAACTGACTTGTCAAAGTAGAAATGATCTCATATTTATGGTATTTCCGTTATGAATTAATTTATAAAACAAATACCAATCAATCAATAAATGGTTATTTTAAATATATATATATTAAAAAATATGAAATATATTTGACTGATATAGTACCATATTTCATGGGTAAAATTAAATAAATATATATATATATTACAACTATATTGTAAATTATGATATGTAGAATTGTAGAATTGTATTGACAAAAAATGATATAGTCTCATCTATTTCATATTTATAACAAAAAAATATAATCTCCAAAATGTTTTATTACATCTCACGCTACATATACGCATTTTTTTTTATTGGCTACACATATTTTAACACATCTTACAATGGTTAGGTTATAAATACATGAATCATAGAATATGGCTGAATGCTCAAAATACACGATATCGACCAAAAATATGTATGAATTGCTCGACCACGAGGGCCATGCACGTAATTCACGGATATCCGATAGTCAATATTATCATGATAGCCAAGATGACCACTGCGTTTCAAACGAAATAAACATTCAAAAGGGCTAGAATAAGCAGTACTGATGTCCCCTTGTAAAAAATATGGATGAACCTATGAGGCCATTTAAACACTTCACTTCACTTCACTATCTAGCAGGTACTCGCGTTAACGTAAAGCCCGGCCTTCGGGCCAGCTCTTCAAGCTCGCTATTATTGTAATTAAACTAGACTGAATACATGTAGCTGTGGGCGTAATTTAAACGTCACGGTAGATAAAATAGAAATATCACTGATATTTAGCCCTGATAAAGTTAAACAGGTGCGCATAACCATAACTAACACTAGCATCTATTTAAAAGGACATGAATCAAATATCTTTCACCTCTTGCTTTTAAAGTTAAAAATGTTTATCAAAAAATAACAATGGCGCCTGTTGTCATATTAAAATTCCTGTAAAATATCTGTTTCAAGTAGTTCCATGTTTCGAAGAAAAAACATAGCATTCGCATAAAAGTTATACCATAATATGCTGCATTCATTTTGATAAAAAGGTTTATATTAACAGTTATTTTATATGTATATAAGACTCCCAACCGTCGCGTAATAATACAATCGCGTTATATCACCAGGTGTAACTACGCGTAACCGGTACTTCTTTACATGTACATGGTACCGTATTTTTCACTTGTACAAGAATGATTCGTGCATCCATTGAAGCTTATCAGCGCTTCAAGTTGTTCACGTCTTTTAGGGAAAAGAAAATAGGGGTTTGATATAACACAATATTAAAAGGATAAAATAACTGTCAAGATTAATGTTTATGTCTCTGTTGAAACACAAAATTGTGTCAAAACATTTGCTTCTATCAATGCAAATATATGATTACAAGAATATTGAAATTTCAACTCACAATATCCATGTCTTTTCCTAACGACTCGATTAAATCACTCAGTAACAATTATGATGTAGCTTTTTAGATATATATATTCAAATAAAATTCTATGTATAAATATCTCTTACCTAAACTGTTAATTTAACTTAAATATGAATATTTCACATCTCTTGAAATAGCTTATCGGATGGCTACAGGGGCGTCACAAATTAAAATACCGATGTCTGTGATTGGACAGGATTTCGACGCGTTATGTGATAGACATACTGTTTTATAACACTTTACGGTTTTGCAAAGTTAGGTATTTTAAATAAATGGGGGACATGTCAATGTCTTAAACATTTATAAAAATGTATCCTTTATCTTTTAAAATAAGGGAGACAAAATATTTGAGTACGAATGAACAGACGTTTATTTACTAAATGAAGAAAAAAAAAGAATGATAAAGGCTTTTTTATATGATTAAACTAAGTACATAAACACTCATTATAAATAAGACGACCCCTATTTCAAACATTTCAATACAGGGAAGACGAAGTTCGGTACATTGTCAGATGCCCATTAATTATTTAGATGTAACGTCACGTGTGAATAACCGTGTGTACAATTATTCAAATTGCGTCGATAAACTTTGCGTCGATTTAAACTACAAATTATTTTGAACCTTTTAACCTTCAACGATCTAATAACTACGGAAGCCCATTGAGGTCGTTTTGAGTTAAAAGTTAGAACTTAGATGTTAGATCTTAGAACTTAGATCTTAGAACTTAAGTCTTAGCTCTTAGAACATAGAGGTTCCGTATAGGCGGGAAAACGCCATATTGAATGGAGTTGTATGTAAGGTAAACTTTTATTTCTTTATTTTTATATTTTGTTTTTAAAAATTGCAGAGATAAAGCTATTATTTCAAAAAATTAGGTGATGTTATCTGTAACTTAACCGGCGTGGTGAAAAACAACCAATGTCAATAAGGGCAAAGGAGGCTATTTAGGCCATTGAAGCTATTTTAGCCAAACCTTGTAACAGAAAAGTCGATCAGGGATACAAACATCAAAACTGATAGCCGTTGCCTGTCTAAGTGTACTTCCCCAATTGTCAACTTTGGAACAGTATTCAGAATTGTGTAACTGTCAGTTTTGTTGGTTTCGTGATGTGTACAAAATAATTTGTGTATGTTTCCTATTGCAGAATATTCTTTATTCCTTTCAAGACGACGAAAATGGTGTTAACATGGGCATGGATGTTTGGAATTGGCTGTTATAACACCAGTATCTAGTGTTGTGATCATGGATTGAGCTGACATTCTCAGAGGGGCACATTTAACAAGACTAGAACTGATTACAAATAACTTATTTATACTTACTTTTACAAGGCTAACAATCTTGTCCGACGCAAAGCACGTACATCTATAAAGACGAGGTATTAAGGGACCCCATATCTGTAGTAATCCTGAGGAGTGCCAAGTGTTGAGGTTTCGATCGATGTTGTACAAATTGGACTGACTACCAGTTGCAATGTCAAGAGATTCTGTAATGAGGCTAATGCCACAAATCGACCCCGAGGAACTAATCAACGCTAAGCCACTGATCATCTCGGCGAAGATATGTCTCGAAATTTAAATGTCCCTTACTGTGTGTGGCTTGTAAATGGTTACAAAAAGTTTAAGCCATATAAATTCTGCATCCACGGAGCGATCGACGGGTACAGTCGACGCATTTTATGTCTCGATGTATCAAAGAGCAACAACACGCCCGCATATATATCGCCATACTTCATTGACACATTACACGAAATAGACATTCTACAGAAATGTTTATCAAAGTTCTAAGTTCATCATTCTGGTTTAATTTTCAAGGTTATAGGCATGTATGTTTTGAAGGATTAAGAAACGCAATATTTCCTTAATCTTTTAACAAAACGTTTAAAAATATGTATTATGTTAACTCTTTATTTTTAGATGTTTTATTTCATTTGAACCATGCTTACAAGAACATCCATCGAACACTTTACGTCCTTGTTGTGCCTATTCAGTAATGCGATTCCTTTTGAATATACTGGTGCAAAGAGCAGCAGGTCACACCATCAATCATTTGTGCAGAATTATGTCCTTTGTCACCATACGAAATTGTAGCAAATGGCATTTTTTGTCAATACTATATTACACAAAATCCTTGTCTTTTAATATATTTATATAGCATGGTAAACCCAAACGCAAACTCAGTATCAAACCGCTGATAATTTCATCAAATACATGTATTAATACAAGATAGCACTTCGTTAAAATTAAGGCAAAGGTTATCTTTTATTTAAGTGGCCACTGTGATCTTGACCTGGTACAAATGGAAACACGAAATGATTGATCACTGATGCAAAGTGCACATACATGTAATTTGAAATGTAGAATAGACACACACTTTGATCGGACCATTTATTGAAACTTTGACTACACCAGACATTCCCCATAAACAGTTATCTTGAAACAGTTCAATAGTTTTACAACAGCATTCCTGGCATCATTTAGCTCAAAGAATATTCTTGGGACACACAGGTTGAAAGGTCTGAAATCACATAATTTTTTTGTAAGCATTACAATATATAAAAAACAAAATAATCAATTTAATAATTAATGAATAATATTATATATAATTAATAATTCTGTATGCCAACACGAAACACAATTGCATGTTCGTTGTAAGTCATTGTAAAAATGCTCCACGATCATCTGTAAAAATTCAAGGTACAAGGTTACGGTTCGTTTATGGCTGTCAAAACCTTTCTGTCATTCGACGACAACACTCGAACAAGTTTCTCGGTTACAATCAGGCCCTTTATGTGATCCATAAAGTACTGGCATATCTTTATGTCTTCTTGATCAACACGATGACCACAGTTATGACCACCATAGATTCCAGGTACAAAATACATTATAGCAGGTCTTTCGAAAGGTATTTCAAAATTATTTTGGGTTTAGCTTGTCATTTAGACCTCTGCTTGGATCAAATCCGAAAAACAATATCTTAGACATTCCATGTGTACACGATTTGTTAGATCCAAATTTTGAAAAACCTTGTTTACGAAGTAATCCCTATCAGAACTTTTCAACCCTTATACTTTTAATGTGCCGTTAAAGCAAGCAATGCTACCGTTTATTTCCGGCGAGTTGTCGTTGTTTGAAACTGTTTGAGCCATAAAATGATTCGACTGTACAGATCGCTCCGAGGTTGCATCACAGTCAACATGGCTTTCACTTGACGTATCCATTTACGTTCCATACAAAGTAAATCAGTTCTAGTCTTGTTAAATGCGCACCTATAAGAATGATAGCTAAATCTGTGATTACAACTTGTTATTAGTGAAACAACAAACGGCAAAATTCCAAATATCCATTTTTATAATCAGAAAAATGTATGAATAGGAAAAATAATCAAATTATTTTGATACACATTAGAAAACCGACATTTTTTAATCATTATTAAGCTATCAGATACACAATTTTGAATATTGTTTCAAATTTGATACTTCGGCAATTACAGGCAACAGATATCAGTTTCAAAGCTTGTGTACCTCATCGAAGATTTTATTGGTAGCCAAGTTCGGCTGATATAGCTAGAACTGGCTAAATAGCACCTTATGGACAGCTTGTTGAAGAGAGCTTGGTCGATCTTTGTCTCCTATTGAAATTGGTTGCTTTTACCAGGCCTTAACATATAAGATATAATCACTTAATCTTTTAACGTTCTAGTTTTATCTATGCAACTCTTTAATTAAAGAAAGATAATGAAAAGTTTATCTCACTTACATATTCTTGTCTAACTTGCAGTTAATATGGCATTTTCTCGCCTATACGGAACCTCTAAGTTCTAAGAGCTAATACCTAAGTTCTAAGATCTAACATCTAAGTTCTAACTTCTAACTCAAAACGGCCTCAATGGGCTTCCTTAAATAATGGTACATTGTTTGATAGTACTTTGTATTTTGTTCCAAAAGTCAATGAAAGTCAAGTAATATGAAAAATAATCCTTTAAATAATTAGTATGAGGTATAGATTTCAGAAAAAATTCATTATAATCGATTGAGCGTAAAATATGTACACAATGTAATTCATTGTGAGAGAAACCAAAAATTCCACTCATATACAACGGTGCTAGATTATTTAAAGATTGTTATCTAGATGTACATGCTCTATTTATTTTAGATCTATGTATGAGGGATTCATGGAAGACTCTGTGGGTATCGCAAGGTTGTTCATATACTTTAGTTCGCATTGTTGAACCAACGTAAGGGATTACGTTAGATGACCAGAGAATGTTTATAAATAACTCTGGAAAACAATTTGTTACGTCAACAACAATTTACGAAATATATGACGTAACATTAATGTCTCGCGCTTTTTATGGACAATTCAAGTGAACGGTTAGGCATATTTGACCTCATACAGATAATTTTAAGCGCGTTGAGATAAGTTTGTCTTTATGACATTGAAAATGATTTTTGCGGTAAAAATCTGTTGAAATTGAACCTTCAATTCATAGAACAAAAAACTTTTGATGGCATTTAAATAATTTTGAACACCCTTGTTCACACGCATCTGCATTGCGGTACAATCCAAGCAAAAAATTACATATAGGACCGATGTCGCCCCGATATCATCTGCAATGTCGGCTCGATATCGGCATTCCATGTCGGCTCGATCTTGGAAATGCAACCGATATCGATTTATCGACCTACAGCCGATGCCATACCTATTTTAATAATTACCAGCATATTAGTTTGCTTTCCTTTGCATCGGGGGCTGTAACATCTAACAAAACAGATATTTATTTTGCAAAACCTTTTATTACCACAGCAAAATTAAACTTTCATATGCATGATAATATATTTACACATACATTCTTCAATGTTTAAAGAACCATGCATGTTAAACTTACGATTTTTCCTTGCTTACACACATAAAAACTTAAATGATAATGTTTACATCCCATAACGATCAGTCAAAGGTAAAATTTATGAACAAAAATACCCAAGTCATGTGACTGACAACTACAACCTTGCTATAGTTCAAGACTTCAAGTTATACTTTAAAATAAATTTAGTTGCATTTTTCTTACTTGTTCCTTTGCTTTTTTTTTTACATACGTTGCTAAAACTATAATTAAATTACACTGGTTGCACAAAGTAAACTTTTCACGATAACATGGAATAGAATAAAATTAAATCAAGGTGCTATATAAATGCTAAATATATATCATTCGAGAATTATTTTAGTATATACATGTAGACCTGAAATCTTGCAGTTATCTTTATTATATTTAGTATCTGTATCAGACTCAAGTGGTCACAAATTTGAGTAAAACTTTAAAAGAATAATCACTATAGTTGACTTTTTCACATTATCATGTTCAATAGAAGAGTTAAACAGGTAGTGTTAATACAAAATTCACCTAACTTAAGGAAGAGGGAGGAGCTAAACAGCAAGTGTTTTATCACGCGGTTACAAAATCAGAGCAGTGCTTATTTAGTTATTTGGAAACAAAGATCGGTTACTAAGCATTAATAATTGTGTTGGAATATGGCATCAAAAAGTTCAGCAGAAGTTTCAGTCCAGGTAAATAATAAATTTCTTGATAAATGTATTTTAGTTTGATACATTAAATGTAGCCTTAAAAATTTTATGATAGTATTTAGGAAAAATAAATTTAGGTAATTATTTTTCAAAATTTAATAAGGCTATGTTACACAGTAAAGATTTTATCAGATAAACAACATTGATGATGATTCGGCGCGCGTTGACCTGTGACGAAATTGCGTCGCCATCTTGATTTTAATGTTGACAAGCTGGCGAAGAAGTTTAAAATGACATCTTTAAAGAATTTTAAATACATATGTTAAGAAAGCATGGTATTTTGACAGTTTGCATATGCGGTTAACATAGAAACTGCCGATTTACAAGCAAGAAATGAAATATCTTTTAAAAGGATATCCGGCCGAAGTAAAACTCGTTAACATGCAAAATTATGTTATTTCATTTTTTTTTCAATGCAAAAAGACATAAAAAATGCATAACAAAGACATAAAAACTATTTCTTGTAGCTAAGAAAATACCCAATTTGTAAGCATTGAAATTATATTATAGCATATTGCCATATTATATATTGATGATTTTTCAAAGTAAAGCAACTTTTATTTTAGTTGCCCGTTTTAACTGTTTAAATTGTGTAATCATTTACAAATTAACCTAAAAGTTAAAGAACTATCATCATTCCTGTACATTTTATTGTAGAACTATCCTTAACATTTCATTTTATTGTTGCAAAACTATCCCTAACATTTTATGTTAAGAGCTATCCTTAAAATCTTATTTTAAAATGGTAAGAACTATCCTTTACATTTTATTTTAGAATGGTTAGAACTGTCCTTTTACGTTTTATTTTAGAATGTCCAATGAGATTCCCCGATTTCAATTTTTGATTTAAAATGACTAATGAATAATCTTCTTATATTCAGTCCTTCCCTGTAATTTTACAGGAAGTCAAACTGATAACAAACAGCCTTGTCCGAAAAAAGGTCATCTTTTAGTTGTTTAATTAACTTTCTATTAAATGTAACACTTATTTATACATTTTTTTCTACAGAATATTAAATGCATGGTAAATGAATGATAAGTACAAGCATATACAAGGCATAACTCGGGTAACGTGTTAAACTGCGACACTCTTCACCTTGTAGGAAAAACGAATACGACACTTCATATAAAGTTTTCTAAACGTATTATACTTTAAAACCTGTCACTGTGTTTTGTTGTTGTCTTATATAGCTATGTCAGACCACAGGAATCGGAAATTTTATCAGTAAATCTCAGTTCTTGTGAATATAAAGTTCACCTTTTTATTGTGCCTTACTGATAAAATTTCAGATTCCTAGGGTTAGTCTTTAGAGATGTTAGGGTACACAACAAGCCAGTTGGTTCTGACAGTTGACACCTGGCTTTTAGACCCGCAATTTTTTACTTATCTTTTGGACCTGTCAAACAGTCAATTTTATGAATTTTAGCATGAATATTTCAATTTGTGCAGATAACAGTATGAAGTCTGGTCAAGCTGGAATGATGTGCAGTCTCACCTTGCTTTCTAATGATGGCAAAACATTTTGTGTATATAAATATGACAAAATGTGAAAGTGTATTGTTGTTCCGTTCTGGGGGTTTACCACAAGTATTGCAATCATATTCTGATACTTAGTAACAACAGTTAAAGAATTATTTTAATGCTGAAAACAAACCCTTAAAGTTTTGAAAATGACTTATTTAATAAAAACTTAATACATTGTACTGCCATATAAATCCATGTTGAGAAAAAAATGCAACAATATTCAAATGTGAGCAATATATTTAAAGTGATTTCATACCCAGATGTATATATCACATTTTATTTTATGCTTTTCAGTGGATTACTGATTTTTCTGTGAAAATTATATTTGATAATTTCACAGTGAAAATTATCAAAATATAATTTCACACTTTTCAATGACGAAACTACTTTTTTTCAGATTTTCCCCATGTGGTACCTCAATTTTATTTTTGCTGACAATTCTGACAATGTCAGGCTGTTTAAAGACAAGCAAAGCTGAAATTGATAAATAACTTAAATGCCAAAAGTAATAAAAAGAAGAAAACCTACTTCTATTCATTCAAATTCTAATCACCAAATTTCGTCTCTAAATATTTTTGTTTCATTTTTACAGTCTGATAAATACATTCCTTCCACATGCAAAACTGCTCTTGATGACATTTGGACATATTAAAGTATCCAACGAGCAAAACCTGTCGTATGCTTTATGAAAACTTGAAAAGCAATGACAGCCATCAGCCCGAAGAATTAGTAAACAACCAAGCATTTCTGAGCCAGCCTTTGAAGTTTTCCATTTTCCATGCTGCTTTTTTAATGTTTTCACAGCTGTCAACACTTATTTTTTGTCTGTTACAATCCTCAAATAAGTTTTCTTTTCTTTTAAAAGGGTGTGTGACTAACAAATCCAAATGATATCCGTCTGAATCAAACACAATCATTTTCCTCCCGTAAAATACACAACTTTAAAAAATTGCTGCCGCTTACATTTAACAAAGCCATGTTTAATATTAATTTGCAGTAAGTAACAGAAATATGGATGGATGGTTGGACTTTTTCTCCTACAAGAATTGTTTGTTTTTATTATTAAAACAAGCGGTCATTCATATTCTTTTTAATAAAATGAATAATATCACCGTCATTTAACGTTGATTGTCGCACTTATTTTTCAGCTCAAGACTTCTTGTATTTAATGAGAAATTCCGAATAAGTGGCGTTCTCTATGGAGAAAACAGAATTTAATATTAACGTTAATTTTATGGAAATTTCGTTTTAACTTATTTTTAAGCATAAAATTAAAAGAAATTTTGTTTGTTTGTTTGTTGTGTAAGATGTAATTTTATTTCATCTCTTGAACTTAAAAACAGTATTCTCACTCGTGGCTACGCCACTCGTGAGAATACTGTTTTTAAAGCCCTCTCGATGAAATAAAATTTCACGTTACACACAAACAAACAAATATCCTCTTTATAATGATTATGGTGGTACATGCATGTTCGTCTTTAATGTTTTGTTGACATGTTTATGTCTTTGTGGAAAAAAAAAACATTTAGATAAAATAAAATAAAATGCCTACCTACCTACCTATCCTATTGTTTGAGTGAGACTAAAAAAAGGAATGGAGCGCCACACTATATACTGTATTTCAGTATATACCGGACAAGGCGCTTGAATGATAAAACGCTAAGATCTTGCCTTTTAACCCAACGGGATGAACTTTAACAGGTATAATTCATCTTTACACACCGATTTGTGTATGATTATGAATAAAAAATGTAAAATTCGGCGACAAAAAACGATATTTGTCTATTTTGTGATCATGATGTCTGTAAGCGTCTGGAGGTACTGCTCCAATCATGTATTGAGTTAAATCCTATTTTTTTACCCATGTCACATGAACCAAACAATTTTTAGAGCCTTATGGTTATATATTTCTGGAAATCGGTTTTAGAAGGATTGATTACGTTTACATTTCGTCCATGATTCTGTTGAAAGTATTTATTTTATTTTTTATAACCAATTTGTTTTTTTATTTTATATCCATATTAAAGGACCTGCCGGTTGATGCTCGTGCTATGATGCAGGCAATGGCTGCTGTAGAATTGTATAGAGCACAACGTGAAGTTGCCAATTACTTCGAATTGGCGTACCTTAAACTTGGAGATATGCCATACGTTGCGAGACAAGTAATAGTCTTTTTAAATAAGCTAGACTGACTTTGTGTAAACAAACAGGGCATATGTTCAATGAAATAAACTATATATATAACATATAATTCCAGTTTAGGCGTCTGTGACTAAGTTGTGAGGGCCGTTGACTTCGGACTTCGGACAACATGCTCTTAAAGATGTGGCTACTGATTCGACTAGGGTCTAATTATAAAAAAATTTCATGTTAGAAAGCTATGAAGCTAGCTTATGGAATGTCGGCGGTTCTACCCGAATCAAGCACATGCCTGACTTAATGCATCACTGGGGCGATTTAAGTATTTCTCCGCCAAGAAAACAGGAGATAGGAGTCATAAGAACTTTAAAGTGTCTATGTGACCTAGATCTCACAAACACTGAAAGTATATTTCCCAAAAAATGTTCATTATACTCCTACCACAAAATGTGGCCATAATGGATTCGCTTTGTCGCGTCCGTCCGTCTCAATTATCGTGTCCGCTCTATAAATCCTATACCAATTGAAGGATTTTCTTCAAACTTGGCTAAAATGTTCACCTCAACAAGGGAATGTGCAGAACCCATGTTTTCTATGTGTCAGCTCAAGGTCAAGGTCACAATTGAAGGTCAAATGTCAAACAATCAAATATTAGACAGTATGTCGTGTCCGCTCTGTAAGTCCTACACTTATTGAGGGATTTTCTTCAAACTTGGCTCAAATGTTCACCTCAACAAGGTGATGTGCAAAACCTATGTTGCCCATGTGACAGCTCAAGGTCAAGGTCACAGTTGAAGGTCAAATGTCAAACAATCAAATATTAGACAGTATGTCGTGTCCGCTCTGTAAGTGCTACACTAATTGAAGGATTTTCTTTAAATTTGGCTCAAATGTTCACCTCAACAAGGGGATGTGCAGAATCCATGTTGCCCAGGTGTCAGCTCAAGGTCAAGGTCACAATTGAAGGTCAATTATCACACAATCAAATATAAGACAGTATGTCGTGTCCGCTCTGTAAGTCCTACACTAATTGAAAGATTTTCTTCAATCTTGGCTCAAATGTTCACCTTAACAAGGGAATGTGCAGAACCCATGTTACCCCTTTACCGGCTTTACCGGCTTAAGGTTAAGGTCACTTCAAGGTCAAAAATTGACTATTGACTATGTATTTAAATATTTCTGAAACTAGATAAGTTATTTGCTTGAATCTTAAAGTATATATGAAATGTCACAATTAAGATATGCAGGTCAAGTTTCATAACTCTGTATAACATTTTGTCAAAGATATGCCCCTTTTTAAGCCTTCTATTTTACATACAATCAATAGTATACAATATGTTGTGTCCGCTCTATAAATTCTATACTAATGGAAGGATTTTCTTCAAACTTGACTCAAATGTTAACTCCAACTGGGCAATGTGCAGAACCAATCTTACCCTTGTGCAAGCTTAAGGTCAAGACCACACTTGAAGGTCAAAAATTGACTTGGAAAATGTTCTGAAATTTTAAGATGTACTTGAATATTTCTAAAACTAGAACAGATAATCCTTTGACACTTCTCGTATATATGAAGTGTTGCAAGTAAGATATGCAGGTCAAGTTTCATAACTAAAAAAAGTGTGTGTAGGGGGATAATTTTGTATTGTATTTTGACAAAGTGAAGTCCATTTTTATGTCTTTAAATTTATTGACTATAATATTTCTTAAACCAGAACAGATATTTACTTGAAACTTAAAACATATATGAATGGTTACAAGCAAGCTCAGATGACGAAAATTCTACAATTCCATTGAATTATGACACAAGTTATGCCCCTTTTAGGCTTAGAAAATGTTCTGATATAACCATTAATACTTAAATGTTTCTGAAACTAGAACAGATATTCACTTGAAACTATATAATATATGAAGGGTCACAAGTAAGCTCAGTATGCAAAGTTTTTCCACTCTTAATTACATTTTGACATAATTATGCTATTTTCTTAACTTCACTGCTTTTGTTTGTTTTAGTACATTGGGAAAATGAAAGGTTATTTGTAACTGTTTCGAACATGATTTGACAATATATATTTATACTATTACCTGTACAATTTGTCTTTTTTCACCAGAGATAATTTCTTTTAATGTAACTAAAGTTATTCCCTTAATCACCTTTCCAAGTCATCTTCTGTCAAGGACATAGGTGGGGGTATGAATCGCATTTAGCGATAGTTCTAGTTTTATACTCAATTTAAACATTATTCATTCTTGCCACAAGAAATGAAATAAGTGAACTTCTTTCAATTGTGTGTGCTTAATATCTTCTTCCATTAAATTATTCCCAATCACATTGTATTTATATGAATTAAATTAAATATTTGAGAGAAACCAAAGAGATAAAGAGCAATTTATTTTAATAATAAAATAATACATGTCATTCATAATTGTTTTACGTTATAAGATGTAAATGCCATGTTATTTCGTAGGTAAGAAAGACAGCTAACAACGCGAGAACGCAACATTTAATGACGATTGGGTTGATGAAGAAGTTCACTTTAACAGCGGGTCATATTGTAAATACTATGATTCCAATGATCCTTGATGCTGTAGAACTTGAGGTATAAGTAGGGAAGAAAAAGGAATTTCGCGGCCATCTTGCGCCGTCGGCGTCAGCGGCGCAATATGGCGGACGTTAGTAACGTGAGACGATGACTCAAGGTTCCAAGCTGGTAGTGTAGCAGACGACGTGGTAGATGACAGGGTTTAGCGACATTTTTTAAACTATATCGATTTTAACTAGTATAGCGGGGTTTTTCTTAAATGATAACCAGTTTGAAAATCAACGATCAATTTTGAATTCTAAAGGATTAGTATCAGCTTTCATCTTTTGGTGGAGAGCTATTGTATTGACAACGGTCTAGGGGTATTAATTAGCCATCAGTGGTGTTGGATATAGTTTAACTTTTAAGAATGGATTTGAGAAGTTATGATATAGACGTTAGCATTTTTGAATCCTTTTAGGTGAATGATTACGAGAGACACTCATGGGCTGATGACGAAGTGTTCAATGTTAATTATAATGTTGGATGGACACGGTCTTATATGATTGGTCTTCTTAGACATTATCCCTCAGAATTTAATGAAGTAGCTCACAGATATGAAGAGGGTGAGCATTGGTGGCACGAGTTATGTTATTCTACTTCAAATTTAATGAAAAATCAAGCTTATATGTAGAAGACTTTATACCTAGACAATAAATTGTTTCCACTTTTAAAAAATGACTGTCGAAACAAGATTTTTTTTA